AGGCTGGGGGTAGCGAGGAAAGCTAATCCTAGGCAACAACGTTGGTTGTGCGAGAAGCAAGTACTACTTCGTGAGTCGAAACAACTTGAAAGGCCCGCGCATTGGGCGCAGGAGGCAGCCAAAACATCGCTCCCAATTTTTCGACAAGCCTAACTCATCATACATGAGAGTCTTTGGTAGCGGTGACGTGAACACGAAAGCACGAAAAGGGTGAGCATACACACCGATCCCTGCACCGGAATCTCAGCTGCCGCGGCTATCCGAGATATCGCACCCCAGCTCTACCACCACTCGCACAATTGCCACCGGACGCAAGAGAAGGGAGTGAGCGAACACCGGCACGGGTGTTAATGGAAGACAACAACCGTAACAATGTCATTGAAATCACGAGTCCGCATCGAGACAAACCGATGCCAGACCGAAGGAGGAAAACGTCGTTCATACGTACAAGGAACTTGCTTGTGATTGCTTGTGATTTGTCCCATCCCTTCCAGAGCAAAGTCTGCAGGGCTGTTCGGGGTGGGGTTTTAGTCTACATGCCCTTCGGTTTGTGCCATACATACTTGACCCATGCATACCACACTAGGTCAAAAACAGGAGGAAGGACCAAGTGGCGAATCGTTAAATCTTTCTTACCAACAATATTCCGGTTTGTCTCCCCCACTAACTGCTTATAAAGACTTCAACCCATCCCCTTCGGCTGTGGTTTAATCTCAAAAACGGGTACCGGAAGAGATGGAGAGATGGCACCCCCCCTAAACCGACTTTCAAAGCTCGATTGCTCCACAACCAAGATTGTCTGTACCGTACCGTACACCGTACCGTGGTATTCCGGAAGAGGCGGAGAGATGGCACCCCCCCCTAAGCCGACTTTCAAAGCTCGATTGCTCCACAACAAGCGAGTGCGGAAAGAGCTCGTTCCGTCTACGGAAAGGCCTCAACGAGACGATTCCAAAACCACCATTTTTGGTGTTGGCATAAGCTTGGTTGTGGAGCAATCGGGCATCTTGAAAATCGGTCTAGGGGGGGTGCCATCTCTCCGCCTCTTCCGGAATACCACGGTCCGGTATACGGTACGGTACAGACAATCTTGGTTGTGGAGTAATCGAGCTTTGAAAATCGGTCTAGGGGGGGTGCCAACTCTCCGCACGGAATACCACGGAACGGTATACGGTGCGGTACAGACAATCTTGGTTGTGGAGTAATCGAGCTTTGACAATCGGTCTAGGGGGGGGTGCCATCTTTCCGCCTCTCACGGTATGGTATCGTCCAAAAACATCCGATCCACCCAAGAGAGGGACGCGAACAATCTGTTATTCTTCTTGTTCTCATCTCATTTATTCTGGACGTGAGCCCTTCGCAACTTTCGGTCCACATCTGGGAGCACCAGCTGGAGGACACACAGACAGGAGGAAGGTCGGCCACAGAGGAGGTCTACTGGAT